AGGGGTGGAATTGGACAGCTACTTAAGAGTCAGATCAGAAGGATTCAGGGAGCAACTGCATAGAGGGCGAAGAACGAAGGAATTGACTGGCTCTTGGGTTGGAGCACTGCAGGTGCTGGTGCTGGTGTCCGGGAGGCAGGGAAGTGGTTGTGGAGCTCAGCACAGACAAGGAAGCCAGCTACCTGCAAGTGTAGGTACTGTCTCGTTTTCTTATAGATGGTGAGCACTCCATCAACACTTGCTACTGATTCTCTCATCTGGGTTCCCCTGTGTTTGGGGTGGTGTGGGGTGACAGGAGCTGATAATAAGGAAGTTTACTGAAGACAGGCCATGGGGCAGGCACAGAGCGAAGCACGTTATTTGCCTCATCTCGTTTTTGTCTTCCTCACAGCTTTTGGAAGCAGCCGTTGCATGTAAGTCGGTGCTGTTATGTGGAGTAGGTCAGAGGCTGGAGAGAGTGTTAGCAGAATGAGGAGAGGGGGTGGCTGAGGCACAGGCCAGCGAGGGGAGGTGCCAAGAGAGGCAGAGATGCTAGGTGTGGGCTGAGGGAAGCAGGAGCCATGCCTGGAAGTCCTTGCTTTCCTTTTACGGGGGAACCTGTCATGTGCTTCCCTGTGATAACAGTCACACTTACGTGCCTCAGCTTCCGAGGGACATCAGGGTGTGGGGCATACGGCAAAGCCCTGCTGCCCTGCCAGCTCAGTCCTGCCTGGACACTGATCTCTCTGGTCCATGGACAGCTTAGCAGCTCAGTGTAATTCATCAGGCCATGGACCTTAGGGACCCGCTTGAGCTGGTGCAAACTCCTGGCAGACTCAACTCCAGAACGTGTTCAAGGAACAACTTGAGGTAAAATAAATGTAATGGGGTTTGAATGAGTGAAGAAGGATTCATGAGACAGCAGTCATTCAGAGTCCCAGTGCAGCTGCAGGAGCGCCACCTGGCTGAAGGCGACAGCTGAGGACCCATATCTTATTCTTCAGAATGAGGAGATTCTAGTGAGCAGGGCTGGGAGACCTTTTCATGACAAGGCCTATTTGGATATTGATATCCTCATTTATGGGCCGTACAAAATCATCAACTTAGAAATGAGCCTGCTATAGATTTATTGATTTTTTGAGTCCCTCCTGCAGCTGCCTTAGCAGGCCCAGACCCAGGGGTTTCACGAGCCTTATATGGTCTGTGCACCAGATGTTTTCTACCCTACCAGAGGTTCTTTGGAGGGCTCTGATCAGCAGTCTCTGGCTCTGTCTCACTGTTTACCTTGGTGTGTGGTTCACTTACAGGAGAACTAAGAGCCCTGGGGTCACCCTAGCCTAACAGCCTTCCAGTTGAGAGCCTTTGAATGACAGGTGTTCTCCCTCCCCTGCAGCACACTGGTGAGACTGTGGCTTGTCGGGCCTCATGGGAATTCTTGGAGGAGCAAGGGCTAATCCCAGGATGCTTTTTTTTTTCTGGTTTCTATTTTGTGGGGATCCCCACCCAATCCCACTACCCAGTTCTGGTTGTTGCAGCCATTTGGGGAGTGAACCAGTGGTTGGAAGATCTTTCTCTTGGTTTCCTTCTCTCCATAAAATCTGCTCTGCTTTTCTAATAAAATAAAAAAAGCAAAATTTGAGCTAAGGGAATTACTTATTTTTTAAAGATTTATTTACTTATTTGAAAGAATTACAGGGGAACTGAGAGAGAGAATCTTTTATCTGTTGGCTCACTACCCAGAATGGCACAGGGACACTCCTACCTGAGCCATCACCTTCTACCTCCCAGGGTGCATGTTAGCAAGACGAAAGAGCAGAAGCAGAGCTGGGATTCTTATTTTACCCGTTAGGAAAACACTGGTTGCAAGGAGCATAAAAGCCGACTGTAGGGGCTTACATAAACAGGGGGATGATTTCTGTTGGATGACAAGTAGTGACTGGAGGTAGTTGGCTCAGCGCTGGCGCAGCTTTCATTAACACTGGGCTCCTGCTCTGCTTTCCTGACTCTTTACTTCCACCTGGCACATGCAGACTTGGGATTGCGAGGCCAGCCTGTACCTCCAGGCATGATGTGGACTTTCTAGGAGGAAGGAAAAAGGAACAGTGATGGGCAAAAAAGAAAGAAAAATTGCCAGCCATGCCAGTCTAAAAACATTTTTTAAAAGGATTCATTTGGGTGTTTTTTTGTTTTTTCTGAAAGACAGATTTACAAAGAGAAGGAGAGAGAGAGATCGCCAGTCCACTGATTTACTTCACAAATGGCTGCAGTGGCCAGAGCTGATCCAATCAGAAACAAAGAGGTAGAGACTTCTTCCAGGCCTTCCACAGGGGTGCAGAAACTCAAGGATTGAAGCTATCTTCTGCTGCTCTCCCAGGCTATAAGCAGGGAGCTGGATCAGAAGTGGAGTAGCTGGGAGTAGAAACCGGCACCCATATGGGCTTCTGGCTATTATACCACAGTGAAAGCTCCAGAAAAAGCATTTTTTTTTAAAGAAAAAAAAAACCCCACGGAGCTGGTGTGGCATAGTGAGTAAAGCAGCCACTTATGACACTGACATCCCACAAGGGTGCTGATAAACGTGCCAGCTGCTCCACTTCTGGTGCAGTGTCCTGCTGATGTCCTGGGAAAGCAGAAGAGGATAGCCCACGGGTTTGGGCCTTTGGACACGTGCAGAGACCGGAAGAAAGCAATGGGCATTGACTTGGATCAACTCTGATCATTGAGACTATCTTAGAAGAGATGAAAGATCTCCCTCTTTCAAATAAATAAATAAATATTGATAAAACAGAAAGGTAATGGATAAGAGCCATACCACATGAGCAGCCTCAGCTGGAAGGCAGCCAGGGGAGGAGGACTTGTCCATTGAGAACATTCACAGCTCTTTTGTCTGCTTTATTCACTACCGCATGTAACTTAACCCCAACCCTAAGCCTAATTGTAACCCCAACCCTAACCCCAACTCTAACCCTAACCCTAAAGCTCTGGGCTGCTTTTGGAAATTAAAACTGCTCTCAGACCAAAGTTGTGTTCCCTTGGAGAAGAGCCTGAAGATGGTGCCACAAGTTTTGAGGCAGGCTCCCAAAGGGAGTTTCTGAAATATTTTGAGCAACAGATAAATGCCCTTCCTCCCAACGGATGCTTGGTGGGAGAATGCAGTCATGTGATACGTTCCTTGGGAAACACACCATTGTTGCCACTATTCGTGTGCACCTGCAGGGGTGACTGGCAGGTCCTTGGTGACTGAGCTTGTTCCTGCAGCCTGGTGGGTCCCAGGGAGGTGAGGAGAAAATGATGATCTCTAACGGCTGGCAAGCCTTGTAGGATGTCAGCCATGGAGGGCCAGCTGGTTGGTGCGTGCTCTGGGTGGAACAGTGGTTCAGGCTAGAAGTGAGAATGCTCTCATCCAAAAGGGGAGCAGGGGCTGCTCCAGCTCATGGAGGCCACACCCACTTTCATCTCTCAGGGAGGCCACCTGCTCGGGGAGGCGTTGTGGAGCTGTTCCCACCCTGTCCTCTTGTGCTCATTTTACCTTGTAGGTCTCCCTCTGCCTGAGAGCTTCAGGCAGCCAAGGACCTTGACATTGGTGGAGGTAGAATCTGTCAGGTGTGGACACCTACATTCCCACAGATGGGGAGAGTCAGGTGTAAACACAGAGCAGGTGCTGTCCCAGATTTTTAGGAGAACAGAACGGGGTTCGCTGATTTGTCTTGACTCATAGGAAGCCTCAAGAGAACAGTGACTTCTGGCTGGAGGGTGGGAGGCATCAGGAAAGTTTCTTGGAGTAGGAGTTAGAGTCAGCAGGTGAAGTTGCAACATAGATCTTGCCAGCAGAGGGTACCTATGAGAAACAGCCCGGCCACGGACAAGGCTGCGGCATGCTTTGTGCATGCCCAGGTTTGACAGGGACGTCAGAGTCACGGTGGCAGTGTCATAGGAAAGCCTGGAGCATTGGCTGACGTCGTGTTGCAAGGAGTTTTGTTTCTTTTGTGAACAATGGAAAGGAGCTGGTGGTTTTTGAGTAGACAAATGACAGGATCAGAGGTGTTTTGCAGGAAGACAAGGAACTGAGTGCGAGAGGAAAGTTGGTTATTTTACTCCTTCCACCCAGGGCTGCTGGCTTGTAAGGAGCTACTGCCCTGCTCGGGGCTTCTTGGAAGTGATGTCACACTCCTGTGTGGGGCAGAGAATTTCCACTCCTCAGGGAACAACCCCTAGGGGGCTGGTTACTAACACCAGAGGCAGGGAATGGGATGGGCTGGTGGATAAGGAGGTGGTGTGACGATGCCAGTATTTGAGTGGAGGTATCCCCCTAGGTTGCTAGGCAGAACCTAAGAGTCAAGTCTCTTCACGAATGGGATGAATCCTTGTCTATGTCTGTTTCCTGCTGCTAATAGCACAACACCATGGGCTGGGCAAGTTATGAAGCAGAAAGACTCCTGGGCTGGAGTGTCACATCTGGTGATGGCCTTGCTGCTGACAGAGTCCCTAGGCACAGAAGCCAGGGAGTGCACGAGAGACCTAGCAGACCACTCTTGAGATGGCCCCCAACCTGCTGATCACAGGAGTGGATGCTGCCGTGACTGAGGACAGAGCTCCCCTCCCCTCCCACAGGCCTTTCTTGGTGCCACACCTTAGCAGTTCCTTGTGGGGATTAAACCTGATTAACCTCTGGGTAGGTCTGTCCCCACAGCAGCTTTCTTGGGAAAGCACTGGAGAGGATCAACCAGGTCCCTTGCCTGCCACTCCCTGACATGCAGGGACACAGTGATATGGGGTCATCTGGGGTGCAGACAGTGGCCTTCTCCAGACCCCAAGTCTCCTAGCACCTTGGTATTGTACTTCTAGGACCATGTACACCCTTTTTACATAATCCAGTCTCAGCGATCTTCCCCGGCAGCAAGAATGCACTAAGACAAATGTGGACTTGGGGTTGAATGGGACAGTGAAGACCTGCAACAGTGGGGACTCTACAGGCCTGACCCAAGTACTCTGTGTCTTCCCCTTCCCACAACACTGTGCAGGTGACTGCTGGCTTCTGGCGGCCATTGCCTCCCTGACCCTGAATGAAAAGCTGCTTTACCGCGTTGTTCCCAAGGATCAGAGCTTCCAGAAGAACTACGCAGGCATCTTCCACTTCCAGGTACTATGCCTTGCTTGTGGTCTTTGTCACCACATTCTGCACTCCTAGGTCCTGTCTATCTTAGAGTTACTAACTGAGAATGTCTGGGGTCAGGGTCAGTTGCTCTGTGTTTGAACGATTCCCTCAGGGGTTCTGATACACGTGAAATGGGAGAACCATTGCTTTAGTGCATGCGTCCAAGCATCCACGGGTCTGCCCCCTTTCCACCACACTTAGGAGCAGGGGAATGGGTCTGAGTCACCCACTGTTGTTGCTGGACAGAACTGGGCATGTTTTCCCACCCACAAAGCCAGAGGCTGCACTAGCTGTTTTCTGGTTCATTCGTTGTCTCCAAGTGGTGTAGAAGAAGGGAGAACTGGATCCTGTTGCTAAGGAGCGGGGGAGTTCATGGAAAACGCAAGATGTCACCCAGACAGCTTGAAGCCCCATGTGAGGCCTGCAGGGAGAGCCTTCACCCTTTCGTGTATTCACATGAGGCCCTGTGTTATCTTGCTTTCTCCCCCAGTTCTGGCAATATGGAGAGTGGGTGGAGGTGGTCATCGATGACCGGCTGCCAACCAGGGATGGGCAGCTGCTCTTCCTGCACTCTGCAGAAGGCAGTGAGTTCTGGAGCGCCTTATTAGAGAAAGCCTATGCCAAGTAAGACTGTGAAGCCCCTGGGGCTTGAACCCACCCCTCTCCCACCCCACACCCCAGGCCACGCTCAGTCACCAGGGCCACTTACTCTGTTAGCCTGGCTGCCAGGGGCTGCAGGGAAAGCACCCCTGGGTCACAGAGAGAAACAGTGATTAGGGTTGGGAATTTAACTCCTCAGCTCTTATGGATGTGGGGGACTTAGCTTTTTTCTCTCTGAACTGCAGAGGTAGGCTGTTAACACAAGGTAAAATTGAAGGATAAAGACAAAATCAAGTGTGTTCAGACATGGAACTCGGCTAAGTCTGCCCCCCCTCCCTTTGGAGCTGTTTTCTTTCTCACTGGCATTTGATGCCCAAGATCTGCTTTGGGGTTTTGTTTACTGCTACCCTTTTTGGCAAGCTTAGTTCCTCACTGGGCCTGTTTCTAAAGCAAACCTCAGCAGATGCCACTCAGCCTCGAGGGAGGCTCTCCCTCGTTCCTGCCTGTTCCCTTGTCCCTTCCAAATCTAAGAAATGGAGGCCAGTCCTGGGAGGATTGCTCTAACCTTTGTGAAGGAGTGGGTGGCTGAAATACAGGTTGTCCAGGAGGGTTCCTTGCCAAGTGTTGGGCTGATCTCAGGAAGCTGTGGGCTAAGCATGTTCCTGGATGGTGAACGAGACTGGCCAAGGGCCTTGCTCCAGACTCCAGGGTGTCCCAGCATTATCCCTATTTCCAGCTCCCTTGGTCCTGTGGCTAGGGAATGGTTTACACGGTGTGTGTTTTCTTTCCTTCCTAATAGGCTCAATGGGTCCTATGAGGCTCTCACTGGAGGGTCCACAGTGGAAGGGTTTGAGGACTTCACGGGTGGCATCTCTGAGTTTTATGACCTGAAGGATCCACCAGCCAACCTGTATCAGATTGTCCGGAAGGCCCTGCGCAAGGGGTCTCTGCTGGGCTGCTCCATTGACGTGAGCCAAGGGGCTTCTCTTTATTCCTCTCTCTTGCATGGAAGGGAATGGAAACAGACATGGAGGTAGAGAGGCCTGGGAAGGCTTTGGGCTAGTATAGATCTGGGACTTGATGGGCCAGTCTGGTGGCATGCTGGTCATTGCATACAGGAGCTGGTGAAGACCTGCTCACTGGGTGGGAGCTGGAGTGTTAGTGGCCTTGTAGAGCTCCAGATTCCCTTTAGTGCTGCTGTAATGCACCAAGAATGAACACTTGGGTCCCTGGACCCTAGGTGCTACATCTGTAAGCAGAAATGATGGGCAATACATGGCAGACTTGGAGATGCCTGAAGGAAAAGAAAAGGCATTCTGAGGCCAGTGGTTACCGCCAACCAGAGGGGTGGCTACATGGAGTTCTCAAACAGCTGTAGGGACCAGAGAGCAGTGGAGACCACCAGCCCTCAGGGTCTGTTATCTCAGACCTCTCCAGCTGCCCTTCCTTTCTGTCTTTCTGTAATCAAGGATGACTAGCCTTCAGGTAGTGTGTGTGTGTGTGTTGTGTGTATGTGTAGGTAGGGAGGGTGGAGCTGGGGAGAGATTGCTTTCAGTGAATATACAGGTCTCAGTTTTCTGGTGGTGTTTGAATGGCTGGGGAGTTATGCTTCAGGCATGGTAGCCATGCAGCACCTGCTGGAACTGAAGGCTTGGTTAAAGAGGGATGGATGGAGATAACACCAAGAACCTGTAGTTCATTGCCATGTCTACAATCTTAGCCCGGTGCTGGGACAGTCTTAGAAAGTATTGTAGGGATGGCTTCCGACACATGGTCGTGGCCAGCCACCCTGAGTGAACTTTTCTCCACCCAGATCTCCAGTGCAGCTGAGACTGAAGCCATCACCAGCCAGAAGCTAGTCAAGAGTCACGCATACTCTGTCACTGGCGTTGAAGAGGTAAAATTGAATGGGAATGGGGGGATATGGTGTGTGCCACACACAGCATTACCATCCACCCAAGCATCTCAGAGAAAGAGATAGAGAGCGAGAGGGAGGAGATAGAGAGGGAGAGAGAGAGAGAAAGAGAGAGAGAGAAAGATTGACTTTCTTAAGAGGCTCACAGTTAGGTTTTGAGCTCCCTTGCCTTGCTGTAGGGAGTCCCTGACACCACAGGCATGTGGTTAGCTCTCATTCACTACAAGGGCATTTTTCACTCTTACCCATGCAGAGATGACTGACAACCTTCTGACCTCAAGCTCAGTGGATTCTGTCTTGATTTAGCCTTCATGCTGATGTGTGGCTAGGAAAGGACGTCAGTTAGATGGTACATACATTCCAGGAGTATGTGTAGGTAAAACTGGGAGATAAGAATGTGAAGGAATGCAGGTAATCATTCATCTCTACCCTAAGGAGAAAGCATGGGCTATAACTTTCATTATTTTTTATTTCCTATTTTCAAAAAGAATTTGAAGTAGCTTACAATTGAAATCAGAAACATAATAATATCATGAATGTAAGGTAAATCATATCGATCTAGGCTGAAGACAGAACTAGAGTTGAAAAATTAACTTGCTTTAGGCTTCCCAATGGCTAATGCAAAAATGGAAATGCAGTAAGTGACCTAGTTCTTTACTATTTATTCAAAGAGCATGCATGCTCATTACACATGTCTTTATGTTTCATGAATATGCTCTTTAGTCAAGTCAACCCTATAGATACAAATGGGACATATATGTGTTAATGTTGGGCTAGGACATGATGGAGAATATGAAGAAAATGAAGACAAGGAAAATCCAACTATGTACGTGTGTGTGTGTGTGTGTGTGTGTGTGTGTGTGCGCGCGCGCCATGGCCCAGGGCATGGGGGTCATATTGGAGTGTTAACTAAGGATGAGGAGAAGGAAATGTCTTAGTTACTGTTTTTTTTTTTTTTTATCTATATACCTATATATAGGAAGGAGCTTTGTATAGCTCTTGGCTCCAGAGGCTGGGTGGTTGTATCAGTTGTAGGACTTGTGTGGCTCTGGAACATGGTGGAAGTCAGAAAGGCAAGTTTGGAAAAGAAATAAGCAAGAGGGTCCAGTTCATTTTGAAGATAATGATAGTCTGCAGCTCCAGGGTTGTGGTGAGGTTACAGGAGGTATTGACCCATTTGGGGTGCTTAACACAGTGCCTCATCGGTAGTCTCTGCTATGCTGTCGGTATTTACTTGGTGGTATTTATTTTCACAAGGTCTCAGATGTAAAGAACAGGATCCATCTAGGATAACTCTAAACTTTCATCTAAGCTAAAGCAGACGTGAGCTGGTTTGTGTGATAGGCTCATTCTTTGTTATTTTTAAACATGGGGGAAAGTAAGAGCACTTGGTCAAGGCCTGAAAATAGACCTTAAAAGCAAGTAAAAGCATCAGGACCCTGAAGAAAGCAAACACATGTGCTTTCTGATGCTGAGGCGAAGGCCCGGAAGCGCGGGGGCCGACACTCAGCTGCTTTTCTCTTTGTGAAACTCACAGGTGCATTTCCGTGGCCGCCTAGAGAAGTTGATCAGACTCAGGAACCCGTGGGGCGAAGTGGAGTGGTCGGGAGCCTGGAGCGATGAGTAGGTTCCTCCCTCCCCATTCCTCCCTCGTCTCCCCCTGGGGAAAGGTGTGCGGGAGACATGCACCATGGGATGGGTTGTAGTCAGCTGAGGGGCACTCCCGGTTCAGAAATCACATGGTCTGCCCAGAAACAAGGGTCAGTGAATTCCAGGCTGGGAAAACAGCAGGAAAACCACCGAGCAGTGCTTCTCTGGCATTTCAGAGAATTCCCCTCATGGTCAAAGGGCTTACCTGTTTTCTTCTCATTGCATTGTGGTGACTCAAAGCCTGACTCACAGTCTGTCTCTACTCAAAAACACTGGTCACTTTTTGTTTTTGTAAAGATTCATTTATTTGAAAGTCAGAGTTATGGTGGGGAGGTGGGGGATGTAAGGGACAGATTTTTCATCTCTGGTTCACTTCCCAAATGGCCATATGGTTGGGGACTGAAGCCAGGAGTTAGGAACTTCTTCCAAGTCTCCCATGTGGGTGCAGGGGCCCAAGCACTTGGGCCATCTTCTGCTGCTCTCCCAGGCCATTAGCAGGAAGCTGGATTGGAAGTGGAACAGCTGTGACTAAATAGGCTTTAGGTCATGGAGAACATGCATCCTGTGGGCCAGGAATTGGGTCCCATATGAGAAAACTTCTCATCCCACTGCCCAAGGTTGAGCAAAACCCAAAAAACTCAGTTATGCTCACTGCCCTAAGAAGGTGACCAGAGTGAGTGAGTCCAAGTGTTGCCCGTTGTCACCAGTAGCTGTTTTCCAAGCTGTCATATGTTTGCCTGCCCTGACTCCACCCAGTCTCTGACAGACTGCGAAGGCTTGGTGGTAGAAGGTGGCTGCCATGTATTCTGGGGGTTGCTGAGGCTACAGACGAAGTTTGGGCCATTCTATGCGGACTGTTGGAGTAGAAGGGCACATCCCTAAGCCCATCCCAGAATCCAGCTAGCGAATCAAGGGGGAGATTAGGTTGGAGCTAATGGATTACTCCTGGTACTCCCAGACTTTGTTTCCAATGCGCACACTCTGAGAACTGATTTCTGGTCAAATTCATGTTTCAGGGAATGAAAGAGGCCCTGGGAGTTCTTTCGTGGGGCCCCTGAGCTGTTAGAGGTTCATTTGCAAGACACAGACTGGACCTGGGTGGGGGGTGCCCCAGCTTTTACCTGGGCACCGAAGGGCTTTGGAGTTTTGCTGAAAATATTCATGGAAGGTCTTGATACTGTGCAATCAGTTAGACCTTGCATACATATTTCAGAAAAACCTCCCTTTTTAAAGGTCAGGGAGTTGGAGATGGCATTTGAACAAAGTATGTGGATATTGCTAGGGAAAGGCCACCTGTGGGAGGCCTCACAGGGAGTCCCCACTTCAGGCAAGCAGCCAGAAACCCTGGGCCTGAGGGGCAGTTCTTGCAGCCCTAGGGACAAAGGCCAGGTCCTCCTCCCAAGAGCTGGCCAGGTCTCTAGCTGGGTAACCAAAACGCCAACTTCCTCATTGTTGGTGGTGTGTGCTTTTCCTGTATTGGGAAATCTTCCTGCTCTTCTCCTGGATCTTCCCTGCCACCCTCTCCCTGGCCATCCTCAGCTGGGAACCTTCAGTAGGAACATGAAACTTACCATGCATGCGTGTGTGCACGAGAGAGAGAGAGAGAGAGAGAGAGAGAGAGAGAGAGAGAGAGCAAGTGAGCTGGGCTGTAGTGTTCCCAAGCCACGTACTCCAGCCCCCCTGCTGGAGCTCTGGCCTATGTCACTGTCCAGGCTGGGCACTGTCCGGTCGGCCTCTCCCCTGCCTGTGTTTTGTGGGTGTTCCACTTCTGGTCCGCCCTGGGAAGTTCAGCTGGAGTGGAAAGGTGGGAACCCACAGGCACTGTCACCTCTGCTTCCTTTCTTTCTTCCCAGTGCACCTGAGTGGAATGACATCGACCCTAGGCGGAAGGAAGAGCTCGACAAGAAAGCAGAGGATGGGGAGTTCTGGTGAGGGGTTGTCCTCCAGCTGCGCCTCAGCAGTGGGTCTGCCCCAGCTCTGATGTAGGCGCAGCAGCCCGTCTCCAGCGGGGCAAGACTTGAGCTGTCAAGAAAGGCAGTGCAGTTCCGGGCCAAGAGGCCTTTCACTCCTGTTACCCTTCTTGCACGTGGTCTGATTCCACCCCTGAGGTGGCCTATGTGAAGTGTGCAACTCTTGATGTCTGGGCTCTCCTCCTGGCTTAGCTGTCAGCCTGTGGGCGGTAGCCTCTGTGGTCCTCCTAATACTCCCAGAGCCCTCTCTGGGTCTCTAAGGGAAGGGTTGGTCTATGTCACAGCAGGATAACCACCCTCACTGTGAGCTAGGGAAGACCCCAAGGCTGTCTCTTGACTACACTTAGGCACGGAAGCCACATCTCTGCTGGACCTCGCTGAGATGCAAATGGAAAAGAGTCTCTTGTGGGTTTGATCTTGACCCAACTGAGGGGCAGGGCTATGTTCAGATCACTCCACTACCCCACCAGGATGTCATTTTCGGACTTCCTGAGACAGTTCTCTCGCTTGGAGATCTGCAACCTGTCCCCAGACTCCCTGAGCAGCGAGGAAGTGCACAAATGGAACCTGGTCCTGTTCAATGGCCGCTGGACGCGGGGCTCCACTGCTGGGGGCTGCCAGAACTACCCAGGTGAGGCCTCGGGGCTGGCCTGAACCTGCCTGCATTCCTCCTCCCTGCCTGAGCTGCATGCCTGAGAGTGGGACATGCCTTTGCAGCTTGTTCCTAGCTTCTGTGCGTCCTCTGGAGGCCCCACTGCTCCATAGGGTGGGTGTGGGGTGGGGGCTGGGAAAACAAGGGTGGGTCGTAGGGCTGCTGGTCCACGACCTGATGTCAGCCACTATTCAAACCCACCCTGTTTCACTCCTGATGTCTTCCTGCCTACCTGCTCTCAGCTCCTCCTACAAGGTTCTTTGTTCCGCTCTTGCTTCCCCATTCCCACCTGTCCACTGGGCTCTGGGACAGTGTGGCTGATGGCATGCTGAGGGAGTGTGGATTGCACCCAGCACCGTGGTGGCTCCACTCCACATCTGCACGTGAACTGGGGGTGCAGGGTGAGACTGTGTGGCTCACTGCATGTGGCCCCTGCCTTCTCTCAAGGGTGCCATTGGGGTCAATCACTGCTGGGGATAGTCTGGTGCACCTGTTGCTTGTGCACTAATTGGGGCTCCTCATCTTACTAATGAGGGAAGAATCCAAGATTCGCAAAAATGCACTAATAGATATGTGTGTAGACTCCTCCTAGGCTGAACTTACACCTGATGAAGAAACTGACAAAACCAGCTCACCTGGCTAAGGCGCAGTGAAGGAAGGCAACCCCCTCTCTCCGCACCTAGTCCTGTGCTCCAGCTGGCCGGTTTGCTGCTGATCCTTGTTGATTGATGTTGATTGACATAGTCCCTCAGCACAGGGGCGAGGCCAGCCATGTGATCAGTGCAGCTCGTGGCCGGGTTGTGCTCACTGCTATGGAAGCTGCCTTAACCCAATGTTCCACATGGGAGTGGTGTTTGACACAGCAGTTAATGCACTATTTGGGGTGCCTGCATCCCAGATGGGAGTGCTCAGGTTTGAGACCTGGGTTCTGTTCTGAATTCCAGCTTTCTGTTAAGGTGCATCCTAGAAGGCAGCAGATAATGACCCAAGTCTTTGGGTCCCTACTACCTATGGAAGACATGGATGGAGTTTCTAGATTATGGCTTTGGCTTGGCCCTGCCCCGGCTGTTGTGGGTATTTGAGGGAGTGAACTAGTGGGTATAAGATCTCTCTCTCTCTTTTAAATGAAAATGAAAATAAACACAAATTAAAAACAATGAAGTCCCATGCTGGTACAGTTGTGCTCTTGACAGTCTCTCCTGCTGTGTTCTCAATCCCTCCACAGCTCCCCTTTCTGGCCAGTGGCTGACTGGCATCCTGTACCTGGGAATCAGTGTAACAGCTGTGGGCCCAGGGCCAGTATCTTTGTCTTGATGTTCTATTCCCTGATAGCACCAGCATCTCTGGGGTGTGCCTTTCCTGGGACTGCTTTCTCTTGATCCTCAAAATGGTGTAATAACTTCTGCCTTCCAAACAGTTGTGGTAAGCCGGGATGAGCTGGCAAGCATCTGGTCTACTATGCAGCATGATACAAATGGAGTGGTTTTTCTTTTCTTTTCTTTTTTTTTTTTTAAATGGCCCATTCTCTATCTCCAGTACTATTAAGGAGTGAACAAAAAAGTACAGGGATTGCTGTAATGTTGCTTTGGGGAGAAGTTAAAATCTGCTCACCATGAGTAAGCTCTTAGAAAAAAGCTTAACAAATCTCCTGGATTGTTCTGGGAGCTCAGAACACCATGGGCACCCAGGCTCAGGGCCATTCGTATGGCTACTCTGTCAGCAAGAAATGGATTGGCCCAATCTTTGGAAATGATGTGAAGATGGAAAGTTATACAGTCTTCTCTCTCTCCTCTGGAATCTGTAGATATTTGGTTTTAAAATCTATGCATTTGTACCTTTAAAAAAAAGAAGCCCTGGGAAGTGGAGACTGCCTTGGTGGTGCTCACAGGGGATCTGTACTGAGAGGATGTTAGAACAGGCCTGCCTGCTCCTGTTTCCTCACATCCTCTCTGTTCAGAGACCCTCTCCTTTGATGCTCAACCCTGTTGCAGAACTGCGGTGTGCCCAGATACAAGCATTTGGGATCTCTGCATCCTGGCATGATCATTATGTTGAAATGGAGTCTTTTAAACTACCTGTGGGTGGGGTGCCAACAGCAAGTCCTGATGGCCAGGTGTGATTCCTTGTGCATCATTACCTGGCTTCCTGGGTGTGGAGGGCATGTCTTGTGGGTGGGCTGTGGCACCAGCACCATTTATGAGACCTCCCACCCAGGCTCATGGGTGGAGGATTGGATGCTAGCACTGCTTTAGGTTGTGACCTGGAGTTAAGACTCTCACAGAAGAAGCACCCAGGCCAATCAGGTGGCCACAGCCTGGCAGTTCCACCATTGCACATCTGCATTGGAACCCTGTTCTGGTCTGTCTCAGGGATACACGTTTTATCCAAAATGTCCCCCTTTCTTTAAGAGGTGGGTTTGTATTTACAGACCTGAGCTGAGCACAAGGAGACATAAACGATCCCCAGTGGGAGTTGGAGGTTACTTCTCAGTGTAGCCCTGGGCAGTCATGGGATGGTGGGCTCTTGGGCATTCCCAGTGGAACATATCCTGGCTCTTGGTAGGTTACATGCTGAAAATGCAATCCCTTGTGAACGCATAGGATGTGTCTGGTGCCCAGAAGTGGGAGTTGGTTGGAGGAGGCCACATCTCCCTCTGGTGGAGGGCACGTCCTCAGCCCGCTTAACCTGAGTTGAACTTCCATTGAGATGACAGAAGTTCTCCCCTTTTCTTCTCCCCCATCTCCAACCACCATGGGGAGTGGCACCTCTTCTGGTGACTTCCAGCCACTTATTGGACCAATCCCCAGTTCAAGATCCATTTGGACGAGGCAGATGAGGAGCAGGAGGGCATCGGCGAGCCCTGTTGCACGGTGCTGTTGGGCCTGATGCAGAAGAACCGCCGGAGAAAGAGGAGGATGGGGCAGGACATGCTCAGCATTGGCTACGCCATCTACCAGGTACGGCAAGCTGAGCCCATCCTCTGTTGTACGCTTAAAGTCTTTGGTGTGAATATGTGATGTAGTTCATTGAGTAAATTGTCCCTGTTGGCTTGAGTATTTCTAGCCAAGTGTTGCACTTGATCCCCCCAAAACCTCCCAAACAAGTAGAGATTCATTCCTATGTCTGAAGTCTGTGGTTAACACTGATATGTCTGATTCATTAACCCTGGCCTGTCATCAAGGGTAGTGTAAATGTGCATACTTACTAGACTCTCTTCCACCTGTAGGCTTCCCCAGAGACAGTAACCAAGAACTTGGGGAGGTAAAATACTTCAGGGGTCACAGGAAGGCCAGGAGTGTCACTGAATGGAAGAAAGGAGGCTGGGTTTGGGAGCCAAAGACAACCCTGGCTTCTGACATGCATGGGAAAACACAGGGTGTAGTCTGGGCTGCAGGAGCCACATGGTCACTTTGGGTTCTGGCATCTCTGGATGGGGGAGCCCCGCTGGCTCTGATCTATAACTGCAAGCCTGGCTCAGGAGTCAGTTTGCTCCAATAACCAGCTCTCTATGGATCCAACAGCATCATAGATGTGTCCAAGAAAGACCTTCACACTTTGCAAAGTCTGGCCAGAAACAAATTGGAACCTCCTTTTTTTTTTTTTTTTAAAATTCTTTTATTTTGATAATCTTTACATAGTTTATTAGGGCATAAAGGGTCAAGGGCTACAGGAAAGTTTCCACATTAGTAGTATTATTTTTTTTCTGTATCCGGGGTAAGGGAAGAGATAAAGGGAAAAGCCCCACCCAGCCTCCCACCCATCCCAGGTCTCTGACATGGGGCATGCTCTGAAGGTCCTGCTCATGCAATTTTGATAGTTCAACAGTTCTGAATCGCTGCCAATCTTACCATTACAAGCATGATGAAATCTTTTCAGAATCCACTGGTTGACAGTCTCTTCATGATTGGGGTTCTGAGATCAGCAGTTCAGTTGGAGGGCTCCCCAGAGAAACTTCATCTGAGGTGATCTCAGATCTGATTCTTGTGTGTGCTTGTCAGTACAGGGTTCGGCACAGTCTGTCACCCAAATCAGCTTATGCACATGCTGGTTGTTGCAATTGCTGGATCAGTTCTGTTTCAAGCCCTGTCTTCCAATGGGTATTACAGTCCAGCCTGATCCTGCCACTTCATACTGGGTCCTCTTGCAAACCAGTGGGAGCTGCAGCCTAGTTGGGGTTACTCCCTATAACCCCTACCAGGCCTGCCCCCCAACCCTGGCTCCCATGCTTGCCAGTATGTACAACAGACTTGTTCAGTCTGTCCCAGATCCCATTTAACTCTTGTACATGTCAGTGGGCATTGAAGCCTAGTTCAACCCAACCTGCCCTATTATCCAGCCCACACACATACTGGCGGGTGCTGTTCTGTCCAGCCACCCCTGCCCCAATCTTGGTTTTCATGCTCTCCAGTGGGAGTGGTAACCCAAGAGGGAGGCGCCCACCCCACTATTTCCCTCCTAGGCCACTCCCACTTCTAGATTATGCACTCTCCAGGTGGTTCTGGAGTTTAACTTGACAGAATTAGCCCCTAGTGCCAGCCTCTGCTAGCTGATGCTGCAGCAAAGCCCAAACAACCCTCACCCACACTGATTTATGCTTGCACCAGTCAGAACAATCAGCCCAGCCTGGCTTTTCCTTTATCTAGCTCACATGAGGCCCATAGGTGTTGTAGCTCTGCCTGGTCTGGTCTGCCCTATCCCAGCTCACGCTTCCCAGTGGGAATGGCTGTCCACATTCCCTCTACTGGCTTTACCCCCCGCTCCCCTAAGGTTGAACTTTTTTCTTACTGGCAAAGATTCTGTATAACAAATTTCAGAGGGAATTGTGGTGGATTTTAAAAAACAATTTCTTATAGTTTTGTTAAAAATGAATTCCATTGGGGTAAATGCAATTCTAATCAAGAAGACCAAGAGCTGGCTAGAGGACTGGTAGCTTAAGGCAAATTAATGCTGGTACAATAAGTATTGCAAAGAAACCAGTGAGGAAATGTGTAAGTGTCAAGCTCATCCCTCCCTCCACAGTCTCTTCCTTTATTTTATTCTGAAAGGTAGGACTTGTGTGTGTGTGCGCATGTGTGTTTATGTGTGCGTGTGTTTGTGTGTGTGTGTTTGTGTGCGTGTGTGCGTGTTTTATGTTGGAAGGATGGGAGTTAGGAAAGAATAGCTACTTGATGGCAGGATATTTAATGCAAGTGAAGAAGTCTAATTCTGCGCCAGTTTAGCTCTCTCATTTCCACCTAGATTGTAAATAGAAAAACAGCAGACCTTTTGCTTCCTGGGACTGTGGAGTGCCTGAGAAGACTTCTTTGTAAATGTGCTTCAATGTAGTGAGCTTCCGTGAGCACCTGCTATGTGCCAGATGTGGCATTGGAAACTGGGGACACTGCCTGGGGGTGCTCATGACCGAGTGCGGGAAGGCAGGTCTACTCTGATGACAAGGACCACCGTGGGTGTGCATGGGTGTCCCCCGAGAGGGACAGCTTCAGGGATGAGGAGGCTTTCATTCAGGGCTTGGCAAGGTTAACTGGATTTCAAAGGTGTGGCTGGAGAACATTCTGGGCAGAGGGGACACCATGTGCTTCTTCTTTTTAAAACATGGAACTCTACATGAATTTGTGCATCATCCTTGCGCAGGGGCCATGCTAATCTCTCTATTGTTCCAGTTTTAGTATATGTGCTGCCAAAGTGAGCACACGTCATGTGATTCTTTTTTTTAATATATATTTATTTATTTTTTTAATTGTCGTCATGTGCTTCGAAGGGATGGTTTTTCAGAGTGGAGACTGGGTGGACTCCTCATACACCATGGTTACCAGGCTCCTCTTAGGCAACCAAATAAGCCACGTGTTTGTTCAAAGACGTTGAAAGAGCTTTGTGTGGCGTGGTGTTGGTTTTCACAAATAATAAATTAAAGCATGTCAGTTTCTTGAGCCTCAAATTATAGCTGTTTATAAAATACTGCTGTGGAGTGATCCATGGCTTGTCATTTTAAGGCTGGGGGCAAATAATGTGGGGCAATACTTCTGTGAGCAGAAGCAGTTCTAAAGTTGGGGAGAGGAGTGTGTGATGCTGTAGGGGTAGCTGGGATAGTAGGGAGAAGGTGTATGTGATTGTAGGGGTCCCTGAGTTTGCAGGGAGTGACTGGGGTGGTAGGCAGGAGTGTGCAGGGGTAAAGGGGTAATGTATTCCTATCCCTGCAAGCTCCCTTCTCTGGATCTAATGATCTGACATCATAGTCTGGCTTGACTTTAGAAACCTGCCACCCACTGAGAAACAGACAGGGCACCCCTAAATCTGAAGGGTCCTGCTTTTGCAGCAGTTCCTGCCCTCGACAGCAGGCTCCGGCCATGCAGCCCTGCTGTCTCCATTGGGTCCCCTGTGCGTCCCTTAGGGAGCAGTGGCTGAGGCCTGCTCTTCTGCCTCTCTGTCCTGCTTGACTCCACTCCTGCCCTGTGGCTCTCGCTGGGTCGGATGGAGAGTATGTGACAATGGAGGTGGAGGTGGTGGTAGCTGTGGCTGAGCTGTTAATGGAAAGAAGACAGAGTTAGGAACCCACAAGACTACTACTCCTGAAGAGCCTGGGATTCTGGTAGACAATACCACTAGAAAATGAGAATGGCAGCACAGATTCCTGTCATCTACAGATGGTCTTGCCATTCATCAATGACTTAGCACTTTCAAAAGTGCTGACTCATTTCTCTTTACTGTAAACTTCCACTCCAGGGGCCTAGGATGGCACAGTTGCTCTGCATGATGTAGTGGGGTGGTGGTGGTGGCAGAGTACAAAGGCCCAAGGGAGGGCCTGGAGGCTCTGAGTGACCTGCCCTTTCCTTCTGCCCTGCAGGTTCCCAAGGAGGTATGTGAGCCCTGGCAGGCATCCTTCCTATGGTGAGAAAGAGCTTGGTTGCATTCAGACATCCACCGGGACCCACTTCCTGTGATGGTCCATGTGGTCCAGTGAGCTGACAGCTTCTGTGAGTTGGTAAAGAAAGCCCAAGTCCCACAGGTCCAGTCCCCATGGGAGAGAACAGTGGTGACCTTGATCCCATGCACCCTGTTTACCTCCTTTGAACAAGATGATTACAGCACACTTTAAGTTCTTTTTGAGCTGGCCACCGGAAATACATGTCCTGATCTCTGATAAGAAAAGGAAGCATCAACTTTTTTCTTTTTGGCTTTTGGCTTTTCCTGTTCTTCCTGAGTAACTAACATTTGGTTTGGGAAATCATGTTATCTTTCTCATGTTCCCATCTGGGTCTTCCTGCTACCAGGACTGCCTTGGCCCACCTCTGTCATCTACCTTAGGTGATTAAAGGTGGGAGCCCTAGGTAATACTCCTGGGAGGTGACAGGTATGGTCCATTGTGACAGTGCACCTTATGGCTGCCGGTAGGTACAAAGTCAGCTCTGTCATCTCAGCAGCAATCAGGGGAGCATTAAAAAAATCTCAATATCCAGAACAGTTCCTTGAGAATTTATGGCAGAGGGGGACCCAGGCATCACAGGTTGCCAGAACACCGGGATGACTTGAGATTCCCTCAAGTGGAAGCCAATTACATTTATTAGGCAGAGGTGCCTTACCTCTGCAGCCTCACTGGTACTGCAGATTTTGACTTTGGCTAGCTATGTAACACATACTAATAATAGTCAAAGTTATAATCCTAATGCTAACAGCTGCAGACTACTGGTCTACCATGTGCTTGCCTCACAAATACATGTTACTGAGTATGGAGAAGGGGAATTTGGATAACTTAGAGCAAATTCCTTTTCAAACAAATCCTGGAGAATGCCTGTTGTGGAAAAACTATGCATGGTATTTAAAATGTTTTACACCAAAATAAATGTTAATTACATTTTCCATGAGCGTTTTCACGTGGCTAAAGGTACCCGAGTTCAATGCAGTTGGCAGTGGTTCCATCAGAAAGGCCCCACTTAGAGCAATGCTGAACACGCACACAACGGCCCCTCCTGCGAGAGCACTCTCTGTGTTACCATGGATACTGTGCTGTGCTGATGCCAGAGGGTCTGAGGGTCAAAGGTTGTCTGACTTGAAGGTGCCTCAGAATCTGCTGCAGGGAAGATGGCTGGGCCCCTCTGCCGGCAGTTTCGGAGTCTGTAGGCCTGAGAATATGCATTGCTGACACATCTTTTCCCCACCCCCCCTCACCTGCAGTCCTCTGTGCTCTTGCTGATCCTGGACCGGCTGGGCCAGGGACCTTAAGCCACCTGTCAGTTTAGTGTCCCTGGAGGTACAGAAGGAACATCAGTTCTGTAGGAGCCCTGGCCAGGATAGTAGGGGCACCTGGCCCTGTTTTTTCTCCACTGTTTAACAGACCAGTTGATCCTAGGAGGATAAGGTGACCATGAGTGGACTCTGTCCACCCCCGAGTGGGCATTGCAGTTTCAGTCACTCGGAAGTCACAGTCCCTGCTGCTTGTCAGTACTGGCCCTGGCCCTGTTGTGATGAGGCCTGGGCCCTGAGAGGCAGACTGTGGGAAGCCTCAGTGCAGGGCAGCTATGTTGGCACCTGTTTCCGAAGCCCTCCTCAGTCACTAATTAGCCTTGGTTGTGCACCACCGGCTTCCTCCTCCCCCTCAGCCTGCAGGTGGGTCAGGGGAACATTGTCCCTTCCCTTCTCCCAGGAGGGCTGGGAGGGGCCCCACACTGGGCCTGGCTGCAGCTGCCTCCTGGCTGCTTGGGCTTAAGGACCAGGATTTAATTTCCTGTCTGCAACCTCAGCCCTGAGCTGGAAGGTCAATGCTACTCCCCCAGGGGTGCCACAGAGTAAGTCTGTGGGGGAAACTCTCTATTTTTTCTTTATTTTTATCTTTAATTTGATGATACAATTCCATAGGCTCTGGGATTTCCCTCACCCCTCTGCGGGGAAGCTTAATACAGATCAGAGACATTGCTATTCAAAATCTTCATTTTCTTTTAATACATTGAATTTACTTGAAAGAGAGAGAGAGAGAAATCTTCCATCTGCTGGTTTACTCCCAAAATACGTGCAACAGTCAGGCCAATGCCAGGAGTCTAGAAGTCCCTCTGTGTCTCCCATATGGGTGACAGGGACTTGAGTATTTGAGCCATCGCCTGCTGCCTGCCAGGATTCTCATTAGCAGGAAGCTGGATCATAAGTGGAGTAGCTGGGATCTGAATCAGACAGTCTGTAATGGGCTGGGGACATTCCAGGTAATGGTTTAGCCCCTGGTAAAGCAACATGGACCCCCTAACCTTTCATTTCTCCAGAGAGGACCTCCACCCCCATGGAGGTGGAGGTGAGGGTCTGGCCAAGCTCATACAGTCAAGATCAGGGTCTCAAAGAGGGACTGGCACCAGAAGTTACTCAAAATGTATTTACTGATTGACACAGCGGCTGCAGGGCAGACTCCAAGGCCTCCTTCATTTCAGTGCATTGTTATAGCCAACAGACGTTACATCAGTGCAATAAACCCCAGCTCTCTGGATGGAATCTTCCAGGTTTAGGGAGAGAGTGATCAGCCCATTGCTTTGTGTAGCTGCAGAGTCACACAGATGTGCATCTGGGCCGAGATTTCTTCCTGGGCCACCAGCCCTCCGCCCACTCTGGCACCTACATTAACCTGCGAGAAGTGTGCTGCCGGACCCGACTGCCTCCTGGCGAATACCTGGTGGTGCCATCCACTTTTGAGCCCTTCAAGGACGGCGAGTTCTGCTTGAGGGTATTCTCAGAGAAGAAGACCAAGGCCCTGTGCGTGGACTTGGCCTCTGCAGGGGGGTTGGGGAGGCATGGGGCGGGCCCAGGGAAAGGGGTCCCATTCCTGGGTTAGGGAGGTGGGCACCCTGGCTGCTGGCTGGTGTTTTCAGAAGCTTTTAATAACACTGCAGGCTCCCAGTATCCCTTACTGGTGTCTCCTCCTGTCTGTCATTTAACTGACACGACACTAGGGGAAGGTGGAGAGAAAGGTGGCAGCCTGGCTAGAGGGTTTGGGGCCATCCAGGGGCCACGTGAGGCCCAGAGAGCTGGGTCAGGAGGGCGGCACCACCGCCTCCTTCTTACACATGCACAAACTCCTACATATACAGCACACATTAGACACACATGCACACACCACACACATGCACAGCCTGTATGTACACACCATAGCACAAACTACCCCCTCACATATACAGTACATATCTGGACATCCGGTATATATATAATATATATATATAGCATACCACACACATACATGCACTAAACACCACATGTCCTGCGTATTCAAACCACACATGATGCCACACATATCACATGCAACTCACATCACAACTGCGTATCATACACAGTATTCACATGCCACATACACACAAGACATATCATTCCTATACTCATACCAGGCACAGTGACATTCCTTACACACAGTATTTCTCATTGCATCCCCCACACTATCTACATATGATATACACACCACACATATTTGTAACATACTCATACACCATACAACAGCCATGCACAAGCTGCACACACTATAAGGCATATTCTCCTTCCTAGCATATGTACAATATACCCCACCATGCATCGTGGGGTCCCCATGTTCATGGGCTCCCTATCCATGGATTCAAGCAGCCAAAGATTGAAAATATTCAGAAAAGAAAAAAAATCGTACAGAGGCTCAACTGACTTTTTCTTGTCATTATTCCCCAAACAATATAATGTAGCTGCTATTTACATAGCATTTATGTTGTATAATTAGGAATTAGAAGTAATCTGGAGATGATTTAAAGTACACAAGAGGCTTGTGTAGGTTCTCTGTAAATACTACGGTGTTTTATACAAGGGATTTGAGTGTCCGTGCCCCTTGGTACATGCAGGAAGGCGTCCTGCAACCAACCCCCTGAAGAAAGCAAGGAAAAACCTACTTCCATCCCCCACGCACTACACACCACTCACATATCACACACCACACACACTACACACTCTGCATAAAACTCATATACTGCGCACAATACTACATACCATTTATATACCACAAATCACACACATACACTAGACACACTGAACACAGCTTGCATATAGCATGCATACACACTATGCAGCAAACATACATTCCTATACCCCATACCCCCATTCCCATGTACCCCACATACAACACACATGCACACACCACCACATACATACATCACACAGTAACACACATGTATACCACACAGCACACACTATGTACTCATGTATGTGTGTACTGCGGCCTGCTTTGAGGCCATTTCAATAGCAATGTTGAAACAGGTTTGCAGAGGAGAAAAGCAGTAACTGGGCTAAAGAGTAGCCTAGAGGAGTGGTCCACTAGGGTAGAATTTCCTAGAATCCATGATGAGCCCACTTTGAAGCTTGGGTAGGGGTTGGGGAGGTGAAAGAGAAGGATCCTCTTGAAAGAGTCAGGTTCCACAGTGTTTGGTAGAAGCTGAAGGTGCTGGGTGGGGAGTGAGAAAATTTCCCTAGAGGACTGCAGTCATTATTTGTACTTTATTTCTTGTCTGGCTTCTTACTCTGTATTTTAGAGAAATTGGAGATGTTGTGGCTGGAAACCCACATGAGGTATGTAATCTTTTGGTATGGTGAATTCTTTTTTTAAAGATTTATTTATTCAAAAGTCAGTTAATGAGAAAGGAAGAGTCAGAGAGAAAGAATGAAAAATCTGACTCTATCTATCTATCTATCTATCTATCTATCTATCTATCTATCTATCTATCTATCTAGTCTTCTGGTTCATTCCCCTGATTGGCTGCGATCTCCAGGGCTGGGTCAGGCTGAAGCCAGGAGGGGCCTGGAGCCCCATCCGAGTCTTCCGTGTGGGTGGCTGTTTTCTGCTGCTTCCCCAGATCATTAGCAGGGAAAGGTCTGTCTAATGTCAGTGCTTTGTATTGTTTTCTGAAAGCAATTCAGGGTTGAAATGAGAAATCCAGGAGTGCTGGGGCTCAATACTCCCCATCTCTTGTGGAGAACCTCAGGGACCCAACATGGAGCCCCTGTTGGACCCCAAGCCCCAGAGCCTGGATGACTCTCTTACTCGCTGCCATATGTCTCTGCTGGGTCCAAATTTTGCATAGGGCAGGTGTGCAGGAGACATAAGTGGATGGATGAATGAATGAATGAATGAATGAACTAACTGCAAATCTTTGTCTTTCTCTCTCTTCAATCTTAACCTTGCAACTTCCTTGTAGCCACATTCCAGCGAGCTGGATGGGAAAGACGATGGATTCCAGAGCCTGTTGGAGGAGCTTGCTGGGAAGGTGAGGGCAGGTGCCCACTTGGGAATGCACTGGTCATTTTATGTTTCATTCCCTGGGACCTTAGAGCAATGAGGGTCTCAGGACTCTCCCCCACCCCTACCCCCAACCTCTGTGTTTGCTCCTCCTTCATCCTGTGCTAAGATCCAGGACACTGCAGAGGGACAATGAACATGGGCTTAAGACTGCTGTCCTTGCTGACGCTTCTGGATCAGCTCCCATGTTTGTAAATTGGCATTGTCTGTGTGGGGCCATGCCTGGAGCACAAGGTGGCTAAACCTCCTTGCATTCACATCTCTTAGAGATATAGTCCCCAACCTGGGTGCAAGACAGCTCAGGTAGCCTGGACATGGGTTGGGAGGCAACTCAGGTCACTGCCCCTAGAGGTGTCCCAAGCAGCCCCAGAAGGCAGTGGTCCTGCTGTCCTTTGCGGGAGAGATGGCAGGAAGCTGCTGAAGGGGAATGTGCATGCCTCTGCCCCTCCTCCTCCTCACTCCCATGGGAGGAAGGCTGAGGGTGACTTCCTGTGGGACAGCCTCTTGATACTGCCCCACACATGGACATCAAGTACAGGGAAGTGTAGGCTGGTGTTTTTGCTACCTGAACCTTGCTTGCTAAGTTGCCAAGGGGTCCTGGTTTATTCAGAATGTCAGGAGCATCAGAAATGTGAGAGCTTGTGCCTGGTGAGAACCTTCTCCTACTCTTGTGTCCTGCTGTGTCGGTGAGGTCGGTCTCTTTTGGTGGTGGTGGGCCTGCAGGGCCCTGGTCAGCACAGATGATGAGTGCTGGGAGCTATGAGCTAATTGGATTTCTTCCAGCACCTTGGTCAGAGCTCACTGTGACTCCCATTTGGGCTTTTCTTTCCAGAATTCTGAGGTCACTGCCAATGTGCTCAAGGCACTGCTGAACCGGGCATTTTCCAAACGTGAGTTCCTCCTTGAAGGCCCTTCAGGATGTTTTAGGAACCTATGAGAGGTGCCGGGATGTGGCGGGGGCAAGCAGGTGTTGGGCCAGTGTCATAGGCAAGTACACTGGGCTTTGACCTTTGGTACCAGGTAGGGGTACACTAGGCTGTTTTGAATTTTGAAAAGTGAGAGAGAGAGAGAAGAGAGAGAGAGAAAGAGAGAGAGAGAGAGAGAGAGTGAGCTACACAGTGCTGGCTTCCCTTCAGGCATGGAATGGACAAGCTTAGCCTCCAGCTGTTTGAGTGATGGGCTCTTGTTCACCCACCACAGCAGGATCAGTGAGCAAAAGCAGCAAGCAGAGGCTTAGCTACAAGGCCAGTTGGATGCCTCCTGGAGATAGCCCTGGGCTGAGCAGCAACCTGGGGCTTGGAATCCAGGCCTTGGATTGGGCAGACTGCCCCTCTTGTGCTTGGCTACAGGAGAGGGCTGCAGGGGCTTGTGGCCCCTGACCTTGGCTTCCAGGTATAAGGGAGGTGAGCATGGAAGCCAAGGATAGCTGGAACTCCTGGAAGATGCCTGCAGTTTAGCAAGGAAGGATAACAGCTGTTGTGAAACAGTATGTATTGTGGTTAGTAGCACAAGCTGCAGAGCCAGGCAGCCTGTGTTGAAATCCCAGCTGTGTCCCTGCTCGCTGTGTGACTTGGAGCAAATGGTATTAGCTCCCTAGGCCTCAGTGTCCTAGTCTATGAAATAGGGATAATGAGAGTCTACCCCATGGGGTCTTTCTGAGGAGTGGGGTATACAGTACTTAGAACAATTAGCTGCTTTGTTAAGAACTCACCATATACCAAGTACTTTAAGCTATCTCAAAGTCCAGTCAATTCTTGAGGCATGGACTGCCTGTCATCATCATTGTTATCCCATTTGATGGGGGAAGAAACCCAGGCTGAGAGACATTCACTTGTTCCAGGTTGTGCTTGTGAATAACAAAGCCGAGGTTTGGACAGCTACACCCCCCCTCCCAGGCCCCAAGAAGCCCAGGAGGTCTGTCCAGGTCTGTCCTGGTCAGTCCACCTTAAAGTCCTTTCTTTTTTGTGGAGACCACTTTGGGTTGCACACTCCAGTTGGTGTCTTTGGGGTTTCCTATCATGAGAGGTTATTTTCCCCGTCTTCAAATGATCCTGACTCCCATTTTCCATCTATTTATTTGTGTAGGAACAGACATAAAATTCTCTGGATTCAACATCAACACTTGCTGGGAAATGATCAGCTTGCTGGATGTATCCTTCAAATGTCAGAGTATTTTGTTTTTTTGTCCTGTTTTGCAAGACCCCTCAACCTTTTCCAGGAAGAAATAAGGGAAGGATAGACAAGGGAAACCATGGAGAATGAAGCAACACTTATGGAGCCAAGGTCAGGAACTACGCTGGCAACTTGAAAGAAAATGTGTCACATTGTCCATGATCCTCAACAGGTGTGAGGTGACCTTAGTTTTACAGGTGGAGAAACTGAGGCATGCAGAGTGTGAGCCGAGGTTTGGAGACAGCAGAGGGATGGCATTTGTTCCCTCCCACCTTCCCTGCCCTATTAGTCACAATGCCCCTCATGCTGTGCTCATTGCCTGGCCTTGGCTTTCAGGATCTGCACGTGGCCTTTGGACAGCCTCTGCTGATAGTTCATATTTAACACCACACCCAGAACCTGCTTGTTGTCTCTGATCTAATTTAACCTTCTAGACATGCTGAAGAATGATGTCTTGGGTGACTATAACAGAATATCATACATTGGGTAGTTTCTATGTGATAGAAATTTGCTGCTCACTATAAAAGGTCAAAGTCCCTTTACATGTGGTCTGTGAGAGCCTGCTCCCTGCTGCTGCATAGACAGGTGTCGTTTCACCAGGACCTCACCTGGCGGAAGGGTTAAGGGAGCTCCCTGGGGCCCCTCTTAATAGCTGCATTGATTTCATTTATGGGGTTCCTCCATGTGGCCTCTGGAGGTCTCTACATCCTAACACCCTCACATTGGATTAGGTTTCATCATGTGAATTTTCAGGAGACACCAACACTCAAGAGGAGTGGAGAAGTCAGGACCTCCTAGACTCAGGCAATGCGCCAGGTGTCAAGGTGCAGAGGAAAACTCCAGCAAGTGATGCCCAGGACACCTGTAGGCTACTACCCATCTCAGTGCTGATGGTGGGAGTGAGCTGTTGAAGAACGGGAGCCTGGATGGTTCTCCTCAGCAATTAGGGCCTCATCCTCGAGCTTTGCAGGATTCTGCCCCCCCCCCCGCCGGGGGCGGGGCAGCGGGATGGGGCTCCTTTGTGCAGTGGTCACATAGAGTGGGTGTCACAGGGTATGAATTGGCCTGAGCTTGGGTTATCTGTCTAGAAAAATGGTGCCATCCTGTGGTCCCAGAGCTTCAGCTGGCTGTTTTCTCACAATGCAGCAACCTTGAGCACCTGTGTTTTCCTATGCTTTTGTGGTTAACAACTGAACATGTCGGTCACAGAAAGCTCCTCAGTGTTGATTCACTTTGCTGTTCAGATTTCTTTGGTTTGTGATTAGTTCTCATCACACCTGGATGGTTGATTCCATTCAGACTCAGGAGTTTCCTTGCAGTCTCCCATGTGGTTCCCAGTGGTTCCCTCTGAGAAGACTGTGACTGCCCATCTTCCCTGCCCATGAAGACTGAAAAACCTCAGCTTTATTGAGATATAATTCATGTCCTTTCTAGCAGGCCCACTGAGTGTCCAGTCCAGTGGTTTTCCGTAGGTTCACAGAGGTGGGAAACCAAAGCCAAATAATTTAGAACATTTTTATCACTCCCATAAGACTGTTCATACTAACATTAGCACTTACTCCATTTCGCATCAATTTCCCAGTCCTTATCAATCACCCATCAATTTTATGCTGCTATGCATTTGTGGACTGTTATGGACACATCATACAAATGGAATCCTGTACCATGCAGTTCTTGGTGACCAGCTCCTTTTACTCATCATGACACTTCAAGTATGATAGCATTTGTTGGTTCTCCTTGACTCAGAGAGGGTGTGTGTGTGTGTTTATTGTTGTTGTTTTTTATAATTTCATTTTTAATGATATTTACAGAGTTGATTAGGGTGGTAAAGGTTGAAGATTAGAGGACAGTGAGTGAGACCATTGTTTTCGAAATTTCTTTCTCTTCTTCCTATATCTGGGGGAAGGGACAGATAAGGGAAGAAGCTACACCCAGACTCCCAACCACATCAGCACCTGGGATAGGGAATGGATGCCCAATGTCATCCCAGGGCATGCTCCAAGGATTCTGCTCAGGTGCTTTTTTTAAAAAAAATCTTTATTTATTTCTATTGGAAAGTCAGATACACAGAGAGGAGGAGAGACAGACAGGAAGATTTTCTGTCTGATAATTCACTCCCCAAGTGGCCACAATGGTCGCAGCTGCACTGATCTGAAGCCAAGAGCCAGGAGCTTTTTCTGAGTCTCCCACATGATGCAGGGTTCTAAGGCTTTGGACTGTCCTTTACTGCTTGCCAGACCACAAGCAGGGAGCTGGAAGGGAAGTGGGGCTGCCAGGATTAGAACCAGCATCCATATGGGATTCCAGCATGTGCAAGGCAAGCACTTTAGCCACAAGGCTACTGTTCCAGCCCATGCCCCCCCCCCTTTTAAAGATTAATTAATTTTTATTGGAAAGTCAGATATACAAAGAGGAGGATAGAGAGGAGATGCTTTTGATCGTTCTGGAATGCTGTTGATTTCATTGCTCCGAGGTTGAGGAAATCCTTCCAATGTCCATTGGCTGACATAGTCCACCTTAGAGTCTCCATTCACCCTGATATTTGCTGTCAATACTTGGCTGGGGTAGTTGTTCTGCCCTCCATCCTCTGCTGTGGTACCAGGTGTCGTCTACTGGCTCCAATGGACTGCCAAATCCTTCATGTGCATCTGAGTATGCCATTAACTGTTCTGTCTAAGCCACTGATGCATCTCGATTCTGACACATGCACTCCATGGTCAGACCACAGATCCTGAAATTCTCCCCATAGTTGGAGTTCTGAGTCCAGTGGTTCAGTTGGAGTGGAGGATCCCCAAACAAACCCCCTTTGAAGTGATTCCAGACCTGATTCTTGTGTGTATTGGCCACTATGGGTCCGGCTCTGTTTATCACACACATCAACCTATGCTCACGTTGGTAACTGCAATTGCTGGATCATTTCTGTATCCAGCTCCATCTCTTACATAAGCCAATAGATGCTGTGGCCCAGCCCAACCCTGCCCCCCACACACTCAGTCCTCACATTCACTAGTGGGAGCTGCAACCTAGTTGGAGTGACTCCTAGTACCCCCACCAGGTCTACCCCATCCCTGGTTCCTGTGCTTGCCTGCATGTGCAGCTTACTGGTCCAATCTGTCTCACATCCCATTCAGCTCTTATATGCATTAATGGGCATTGAAGTCTAGCTCAACTGAATTCATCCCACTATCCAGCCCATACTCATGCTGGCAGGTGCCACCGCCTGTCTAGCTAGGCCTGCCTCCAGCCCTGGTTCTCGAATTCACCAATGGGAGTTGTAACTCATTAGAGAGGTGCCTACAGTTTCTCTACTGGGGCGAATCTCAATCTCAGATCTTGCACTCTCCAGGTGATTCTGCAGTCTAGCTTGACAGGATTTTCCTCCAGTCCCAGCATTTGCCAGCTGATGCTGTGGCAAGGCCTGACCAATATGCTCTTACTCTGGCCTATGTATGCACAGTGGGTACAGTCGGTTAACCCAGGCTGGCTCTCCCCTTAACCCAGTTCACAAGTAGACCAACAGGTGTTGTAGCCTTGCCTGGCCTTGTCTGTCCCTGATCCTAGTTCTCATGCTTGCTAGTAGGACCAGTGGCCCAGCAGGGGAGCCCCCCGCAGCCCTCCTACTGGGGTTGCATTCCCCCCTCTGGGTTTCATATGTGCTGGTGGGTGCTGCAGTCCAGTCTTGCATGGCCCGCCTTACCATGGCATTTGCCATCGGGTGCTGTATCCTGGCCCAGCCTGGCCCAGCCCAGTTCCAGCTAATACTGATGGGTGCTGCAGCCCAGCAAAGCCCAGCTCCCAGTCCTGGGCCTAATGTGAACTGGCTGGTATTGCAGCTTGACCAAGCCTGTCCTGCACCCCATCCTTGTTCTCAGATCTGTGAGTGGGTGTAATGAACTTGTCCAGCCTGGTCCCCACCCCCAGACCTGACCCACATATATGCCAGCAGGTACTGTATTAGGCAAGTTTTAAATACTGTTGTCCAAGAGTGTGCTGGAGAGGCCTTTGTTCAATGGGTCTTGTCTCTGCAGGCAGTGGGATCTAGAATCAAGAATGGGGGACCAACATCTGGCTCCGCCACTTACTATGTGTCTAAGCATGGGGAAGTCATGGCATGCTCTGAACCCCTTGCTCCTTCTCTTGGAAAATGGTGGCCATGTCTAGTGAGGATGAAAGGTGCCTGGATCCGGAGTCTGAGCTCTCCATGCATGTTGCTCTTCTGAGATTGGTTGGATGAGTGACTAGGCAGAGTATGAGTGCTATAGTCTATTCAGTGCTCAGTGTGGGTCCAAGATGCAGGAGCACAAGCATTCCAGAAGGATGAGATTATAGGGAGGACACAGCATTTTTTTTTTTTTTTTTTTTTTTTGCAGTTTGAAGGACGAGGGAGAGAGACTGTTCCTGTCACTGTTGCAGCACATTGGTGTGAACCGATGAGTTGTGACTGGGCAGAAAAGGGTTTCAAAGAAACTCCACTTCATGATGGTAGGGATGGTTACAAACCACATCCCTGTGGCCTAGCAGTTGCTCATCAGGTATTCATGGAGTGCATGCAAGTTGGGCACAGGACTTTCCGTATCACCTACCATGCTGTGTGGTGGTTTGTGTGCAGACAGCACAGCTGAGAATCCCAATCCCATCCATGACGATGCTTGATGACTTTTCTGAGAACATGTTGACAGTCTGACAAACTAATTATCTGCATGATCAACCACAGAAATTAAATCTGGAAGTGAATGTGTGCATGTGAGAAGCAACCTCACGTGCCCACGTAAAGGATGGATTCAGGATGCAGTGAAAGTGACAGTTTATTAACCATCTTGCAAGATCGGGTGCTTACTTCTCATACAAGTCACATAATTCTTTTCTCTTGATAAGTCAGGTGTTAAATGCTAAGCAGTGGTATTGTGAGGAGGTCTTCAGGCTCACAACTTGCCCTTTATCCCTAGCTCTGGGCCTGGCTTCAAGGGAGAGACTTGGCTAGAGCTGGACTTTTTCATGTCTATTTTTTATTCCCATGGTTGCCCCTACTGCTCTGCCTGTTGCAGACCTGGAGGGTTGACTAAAGCCTTAGGACACTCATGCAAGATCACAAGAGAAAGATTCATGCAACATGTAGAATTGAGAGTCTATCATGTTTTCCTTTAACATGCCTAGAGCAATGGAACAGGTACCTTGGGACCAGAGGAATTGAAGATGGTTTGGCTGAAGATTCAGAAGTATCTGGTAAATTCTCTTTCATGGGCATCTCTTGGGTTCTGGCCCCTCTCATTGGTTCTAACTTCCTTGACAATTCATTCCATATCTAGATTGGACTTTCAGCTGATCAAATCCTTAGTCATGGTCAAAACCACCAAGACTTGAATTTGTTCAGGTTTTGTTCATTGTTCAGGAAGCACCAAGAAGGCATCCAGAGAGCCTCATGCCAACCCCCACCATTCAGAGGGCAAAGGGGCCAGCATTGGCCCTCAGCCCAAGCTCTCATCTTTGTTCTGAAACTTTCCTGGGATGAATCAATGGTTTTGTTTCTTGGAAGTGTCACTGACTTTCCAAGGAAACAGTGGAGTGGAGGGAGATGACTGGGAGGGGTCATGCATGGCTTTTAATGCTATCTGGAGTTTCTGCTATAGGAGATCTACCTGGAAGTGGGTTGTAACCACTTGGGGACCATCAATGCCCATGAGATGAGGACAGCTCTCAAGAAGGCAGGTGAGGACTTGTGCTGGTGTGCTCATGGCAAATAGTTATTCTCATTGTCATGGTTACATATGATCATCGCTGGCAATTAGTTAGCTTATATTGAATGCCAGTGTTTCAACTAAACTCTTTGAGTATCTTCCTTATCCTCCAAAGGGGGAATGCGGCTGGATTCTATGTAGCATAGCAAGGAGAATTTTTACAGGAGCTGTTTGTTCCTGGGGAGATGAGAGCGGTCATAGATGGTGGGGCTTTGAAGGAGCTAGTCAGGGGCAAGATAGACAGGTCCTGATCTTCTCTACTGTCATTGGCCATGGCTACTATGACCACCATGTTGGGCCAGGGAAGGGGCTGTTCCTGATAAGGGGTCTCCTGGAGGAGGTGGTCTGATGTCAGCATGCTTGTGGGATTCCCTCTAGGAAGCAGGGTCATGTGCACAAAAGTGCAAAGGGGGCCAGCAGTGTCAGCCCCTTTGAGTTTTTACCCAAGTCATGGTTGAGTTATTCACTTTACTGTGACTCTCTCCTCCAGGTTTCACCCTCAACAACCAAGTGCAGCAAACCATTGCCTTGCGGTATGCCTGCAGCAAGCTTGGCATTGACTTTGATAGCTTTGTGGCCTGTATGATCCGTCTGGAGACCCTCTTCAGTGAGCCACCTCTTTTCTTGACCTTATCCCACTTCCCGTTATATGTAAGGAGTAGCAAGGGGGCAGGGCCAGAGCAGTTGCTGTCTTTGGGGGCCAGGGTTTCTATGAACCTGTGGATGGGGCTAGGTACCCTGGGCAGAGTGGAACTGGCCACACCCAAAGGCACAGGGTGCATTTCCTTGGGGACTTAAGAGGTTGTCACTCAGAGTATTGTGCACCTGCTCTATTCAGACCTTTGATCAAGATGAATGAGTCCTTAGATGGCCTAGTGACTGGTGACATTTGTGTCTTGGTGAAGATCATGCTGAGAGTAAGTGCCAGCTGCCACTGAGGAGAAGGGGACTTTTCCTGCGCCCTTCAGCCTTGGCAGCCTGTTGTGTTATCATCACTCAGACAGCTTATGAAGGGAGGATTGGAGGTGGTAAATTCTAAGAGGAAGGATCAGGCAACTGGAGCCAAAGTTGGGAGACTGTATTCTCCATGGTCATGACCCTCCCACCCCTGCACCAAAGATCATGGCATGTTGCTGACATGAAGCCATTGAGAGCAGAGATGACAAAGGGTCCATCTCTGCTGACAGCTGGGTTTGTCCATCTGGGCAGAGGAGCATTTGCTGGCCAAAGGTTCACCCTGGGCACTGGATCTAGATCTGGTTTCAACACCCCATGGGGCAAGGAGGGAGCTGCAGGGGATAGGGGGATGCTGGCGGGGAGTGGGATGAGGTGAGAGCAGTTTTGCTGTCCGGTGACAACCCTAGCTAATTGTCTTCCTGTTCTGCCATTTCAGAGCTGTTCAGGCTCCTGGACAAGGACCAGAGTGGCACTGTGCAACTCTCTCTGCCTGAGGTAGTGGCCCGAGGCCTGATGAAACACTTGCTGGTGGTACTGTGAGGATTTCAAATGACATCGATGTTGTGTGGTGTTTATGCCCTGAGCTGTCTTATTTCCAGTGCATATCATGCATGTTCTGTGGCAGGCCTTGCAGGGGGGATTGCAATTGTTATGCAGACTCTTCAGTTTAGTATTATTGTTATAAAGATAAAGCTACAGGCATACTTCAAAGGTGTAAGTCCTGTCCTGTGGTCTAGAGAAGGCCTCTCTCCAGGAGCGTGACACCAGTCATGGGCGGCTGAGAATGGAGTATGTGCGTGCACCCAAATGGGAATGCATGTGAATGCTTAGAGTGCATACGTTACTGTATATGTAAAGACATACACAAGGGCTATTTCACAATGTTCATGGGAAAGTGAAATTATGAGCCACATATATTTGCTGTAGGAAATTTTGGAAACTAATTTTTTTTTTTTATAAAACGTATTTTCCACAAACCTTTCAAAGATCCTTAGTGTGCATAGATTTCACCCTTTTTTGACACCGAAATGAACTTTCACTTTTATTTCCACAAATGTTCTAAAGTACCCATTTGTATTATATATATATATATATAGGATATATATAATATATATATGAATATATGAACATATGTATGAGTATATCCATGTGGATGTGGATATACACCTGTACCAAAAGTTGGGGACCCTTTTGGGTCCAGAACTTTTTTTGAGTCACATTTTTGTAGCACCCTGGCTTACAGGTTGGTGACTTGGCTAAGAGCTTTGTGCAGTTAAGTGAGACACTTTCAGGGGAACAGGGGAGGGAGGAGGAGTCTGTGGTCCCAGTGGGGCAGCCCTGTTCCTTGGGAGGCTGTGAGCTCACCCTTGTCTCTTGTTTTGCAGTGGCTTTGCTGTGTGCTGGTCTGACCCCTGGTCCAGGACATCAACTGTACTCTGCTTGCTGGTGTGCCTCTTCCCTCCCCTTTACCATTTTGTGACATTGGTGGTTCCCTGTCTGTAGTGTCTGTAGTTGTCTCCTGAGATGTTTGCCTGTCCCACCCCTGCAGGTTGATGGCCCCAAGGCTCCTGACAGCACTAAGCTGTGAGCTGTGGGAAGCTGGCCCCAGGCTCAGACAGGAAAAGCTATCAATGTTATGTGCTAGGCATTGGTGTGCCTGTGTGGGTTAAGCTCCAGCATGTGACGTCAACACCCTATGCTAGAGCACTAGCTTAAGTCCTGGCTGCTCTGTTTCCAGTCCAGTTTCCTGCTAATGTGCCTGGGAAGGGAAACCAGTGGAATGTGACCCTGGCACTCAGACCCTTGCTGTCCATGTGGGAGATGAGTTCCTGCCTCCTGATTTCAGTCTAGCCCAGCTCCAGCTTTTGGGGCCATCTGGGGAGTGAACCAGTGGGTGGAAGTTCTCTTTTTCTACCTTTTTTCTTACCCTTCTCCCTCTCTCTTGCTCTGCCTTTCAAATAAATAGGTAAAGAAGAATTAAAAATAGAATTGTATTCATTGGGGTATTGGCTTTCCTAGTGACTTACAATCTGGGGAGTGCAAAGGTTTTTTTTTTTTTTTTAATGAAAGAAGATATTCTTGGGAAATAGCCTTGCCACAGACTACTGATAGATTAACAGTGTAGGTAGGGGCCAGCATTGTGGCCTAATGGATTAAGCCATGTCTGTAGTGCCAGCATCCCATATAGGTGCCAGTTTGAGTACTAGTTGCTTCATTTTAGATACCTGCATCTGCTTACACATCTGGGAAGACAACAGATGATGGCCCAAGGGCTTGGGTCCCTGCACCCAGGTGGGAATCTGCAAGAAGCTCCTGGTTCCTAGCTTTGGGCTGACCCAGCCTTAGCTAGAGTGATCATTTGGGGAGTGATCCAGCAGTTGGAAGATCTTTCTCCTTTCATTGTCCTACCCCATGTAATTCTATCTTTCAAATAAATAAAAAAGGAAAAAAGGAGACTGGGGGCTCAGGCACAGCCCTGCCAAGGATTGGTGCTGAGCAGGGGTGTGGTGATAGAAGGCTTTTTTTTTTCTTCTCACCATGTGTGCATTGGCAGGGTGGGGTGATGAGGTGGGGAGAGAGGTGACTCTTATTTGACAAGCAGCTGGAAGGAAACACAGATTGGGATTCGTGTGTGTGTGTTTGTGTGTGCTGGGGGTCAGAGGCCACAGCATGGCATTTCATGGTGTGGGCATGGGCAGAGTATGTTCTTCTGGAAGCCTGACCAAAAAGGACAAGGAGAAAATACACACATATACCCCTGCCTAGGATGAAGTACCCACTTCCAGAATCAGGGTCAGGTAAATGTCATTTCAGGGGAGGGGCAGGACTGTGGCCAAACACTGTGTAGCTGTAACTCTGCAGAGAGGTGAGGTGAATGCTCTGGGGTCTCACCCTTAGAGGGGAGCTGGGGTCTATCTGATTAAGGCACCTAAAGGAAAGGGGTCACTGGTCAGTGGCATGAGGGTGAGTGGAAGGATCTGTAGCTGTAATGGCAGCCCTTGCAGGCCACCTGGAGGGAGTATCCCCCCTCACCCCTGTGGGCCCAGCTCGTAAAATTCTCAGGTTCCTCCAAAAGCTTCAAGCTCCCACCGCACATTCCTTCTGTAAAAACCCAGAGTCTTCACCCTGGCAGTGTCCCGCAGTTGCTCCTTGACTTGAGATGTGGCTCTGCCATGGTAAAACCATTCTATGTGGAAAATGCATTCACGGCAAAATGTTAGATATCATATGTATGCTCTAATATAATATGATGTCAAATCTAGGGATATCATATGTGAATCTTACTCTGTGAATCAATGTTACTTCATACTTACTGGTACCTAAGGTAACAAGAACACGTGACATAATTCATGAATTAACCGTCCACAAGAGGTGGATTGCTTGTAACCACCTGCGATTGTCAATGTCCACATGTAACTGTTATTGGTGAAGCCCATAAACAACGAAGGCTTAATCCTCATTGTACCTAATTTAGGGTCCCAGGATACAGGAATTGACCTACAACGAAAACTTATTCTACATGGCTGGGAGACACTCCAGTGGAAGCATGCTGGACTTGGGAACATTCACGATAGACACATATGATTCTAGAGAGGAGAACAGAGGAGCGGGGAGGGAATTTGGGAAGGGGCAGGGGAGAGCCCACTGCCAACTAAATTGTATCAAAAAACAATAAAGATTACAAATTTTAAAAAATGTAAAAAAAAAAAAAAAAAGAAAAGAAAAAAAGAAAATGCATTCACACACCCCAATGAGTGACTAGCAGGGCTGAGCCAGCCCTCCTGAAACAGGAGCACACCGTGGCACACGCTGCTCACCATCAGGTGGCGCTGTGGAGCACAAGGTCTGCTTGGTTACAAAGTGTTTGCAGATTGCCTGTAATTCATCTGTTAGCTGGATTCCAAAGTCACTGGCAGTACAGCCTCCTGTGGGGCCGGGACTATTTCCAGTCCAGACTCATGGCTGGCTGGTAGCCCAGTGCTGCCCAGGAGAGTGCACCTATATATCCTTCATCCAGGAAAAAAGCAAAACCCGGAGTGGGAACACAGGCTCTGCTGCGTGTGTGGCGCTCACACGATTGCCATGTTGCAAAATCTTGAAGTCATGCCATCTGAGGCTGCTGTCTTCTGTATCCACATCACCTTATTTTGAAGACCTACAGGCTTTAAATACTTGAGGGAATAGTCCACTTGTTAAACAACAACAAAAATCCCCAATCTGCTTCATTTCAAAACTGGCCTCCCCAATCAGGGTTGGCTTCAGGACTGGTAATAGAGACCAGGAAAGCCAGTATCCTCAGTCACACACCCCGTGGGTTTCCTCAAAGACACCTGCAACCTTGTCCTGTGCTCTCCCGCAGCATCAAGGCACATCTTTGTCCCAGAAGTGGCTGCATCTGAGACAAGAGCCCCCACTACGATCTGTACCCTGCCCATTATGGCCCACACCCCATCCTTCCCTCAGGGGACCCCCACACTCTGGATGGCCTGCTTGTCCCTTCCAGCACCATCTGCCATGGACACAGATGCTGTTGTTGTTTGTCCAGGACCCAGTGCGTTGTCTGGGACATAGTGGGGGCTCACTCAATGCAATGGCGTCCTTCCCTTGGCAAACCAAGGGGCACTGACTGTTGAGAGAGGTGGCCCATTCTCTTCCCAGAGGGTGGACAGGCCTGCCTGGCTGCCTGCAGATGAATGATGCTAGTTTGTGGCTTTAGACATCCTGTGGGGAGGCGGGGGTGGGAGAACACGGCTGATGTGCTTCTGCATGAAAGCTAGGCAGCTCTGGGAGATGATGTGGCATGTGCAGGTTGCCCGGCTGAGCTACCCTGCCCCACAGCCTCCCCTCCCATGGGTGCTGGGAGCAGAGGGAGCCGTGCTGTCACAGGCTGATTCCCAGGGCAGCAGGTGGTTGATTTGAGCCCTAGATTTGCCCACCTTCTGAGAGTAGAGTCAAGCAGCTTCTGGGAGACATCCACGAGGAGTCGGGGTCTCTCTCCTGCCAATGCACCCTCAGAAAGGCAGAAGGATTCGTCTAATTAGTAGAAGCACCATCTGCTTGACTCAGTTCTGAGGTGAGAGGACATTCAGTGAGCCTAGGCATTCTGGAGAATTCCATGGCACCACACCATCTTTATCAGGTCTTCTTTCTAGTAAGGACCACAGAGCAGATCTCTCCTCACAGCCTCCTTTCTGGGTTGAGCTGTGGGAAGTCACACACAACCACAGAGCAGCTCTGAGTGGGGTTGGAGCGGCAGGTGGACGGGTAGCAGAGGGGCTTCTTGGGACTGAGCAACCCCCACACCCCACCCCAGTCCAGTCCACGGTTGCTTCAGTCCCTCCCAAACAGCTGGGATGCAGGGAGGCTTCTTAACATCCCCTGCCTTTCAACGCACCTGAACAGAACATCCATGCCTGGGCTTTTCTAAAGCGCATTGGTCTTTGGAGAGCGTAACAGGAGTCACTTTGTAGTGGAAGGCACACGGAAAAGGAGGGCCCACCTCAAGGGGAAAAGGGTAATAATTAGGAGTTGGCAGGTTGTAAGGAAAGAGGGGTGGCTCACAATTTTGAGAGCCCATGTTTGTGCTTGGCTCAGCAATTTTGAAAGAGAGAGAGAAATCTTAGTTTACCTCTCTGCTGTCCATAACAGCTGGGCCTTGGCCAAGTTGAAACCATTAGTCTGGAACACAATCTGTGTTTCATATGTGGGTTGCAAGGCCTAGGACTTGAACCAACACCTGCCGCCTCCCTGGGTGCTCATGAGTAAGAGCTGAATCAGAAGCAGAGCTGGGACTTGCACATGCGCACTCTGATATGGGATAAAGGCATCCCACATTGCCTTTGAACTGCTGTGTCAAATGCCCACCTCTGCAATCCTTTCATCATGTCTAATAATCTGCATTCAAATTTCCTTAATTGATTTCATAATGTATTTTTTTCCAGTTACTTTCTTGGAACTGGGAGCCAAGCAACATTCTCATCTTGCACCCTGTAATCTAGAGCAACGTTCCCATTTTTTTCATGCCCTTGCATGATCAATAAATAATTGGACTTTTAAAAAGGAATGCTGGCAAATGTGAATTTGCTGTACATGTTTCTCAGTCTCATTAAATCTCATGCAGAGTTCCTGTTCTAGTTGGTTTTCTCATGTTCCCCAGGGCCAGGAAAGAAGGTTTACAGGACACTGGGGAATGGGAAAGGCTGTCTAATTTTCACTCCAGCATGCTTGCCATCCAAGCCCGCCGGTCCCTGAAGACGGTTCAGGACTGTCTGGGCAGAGGGCCTCTGTCTGGCACCTGAATCCCATTTTTGTTCAGATATTTTCTTTCCCTAGACCCCTCCCTTGGCACGGGAAGCGGGTCTCTGCTGGGACTGTTTCCTTCCCGGCCTCAAGGGGTCCCTTCCAAACATAGTCTGTTCAATCTGCCTTGGGTCACAGTTGCTCCTTGGGGTCAGAGAGCACAAGGCAGAGTCACTTGCTGATGACAGTGGGAGAACTGGATGTTTTAGTGGCTTGTTCTGCATGTTAAAGAAGCAGCTCACTAGTGGAGGGAGGGAGAGGTGAGACAAAGGTTACAGAGCAGACTTCTCCAAGAGAGATCCCTAGGGCTGGTT